TCGAGAGGAATCGAGAGGAATCGAGAGGAATCGGCCTGTCTTACGCCGCCGATTCGCCGTAAAGATCGCAGTCTTCGCGATCCTACGATCTCGGCCATCTCGGCGACTGCGTAGCCGATCGATGGAAAACTCACGACGAGGAGTATGACTGAACGAGGTGTAGCGTTTAACGTTAAATGCAAAAAAAAAAATTGGATTTTTTCCATTTTCTTTTTTAACAAGAGTTACATCGATCTAGTTGGTCACGTTTTCAACTTGTACAGTGTCGATCATATTGATTCAGTCTCCCTTCGTTTCTCAATACGTTTTTTTTTTCTTTTTCTTTCAATTCTGTAATTATTACTTTTTCACCGAGTTTCTACACTTCTCTTTCTTTATTTTCAAACTATTCATTAACTTGACTCGATATTTCTCGCGCGAGTACAACTTCAGAAAGGATTCAAGAACGAAGCTTCTACTTTTCCTCATTTCTTCTTTCAACGATGCTTTTAGCGACTGAGTAAACGAGTGAAACTGTAAAAATTCAAGCGCATGTATCTCCGTGAAATTTTCACGTCTTTTAACTTACCTGTCTTGCCGTAGGTGCACTGACAGTAGAAGCTGCCGACGCGGTCGATGCAGGTAGCGCCGTTGAAGCATGCAGCGCCTGCACAGTCGTCGATGTTGACGCTGCAGTCGGGCCCGGTCCAGCCATTCACGCATATGCACGAGTAACTACCGGGTGAATTCGTGCACGTGGCACCGTTGTGGCACAACGAAGGCCGAACCGAACACTCGTCAACGTCCAGCTCGCACTGCGTGCCCGTGTACGAGGGTGGACACAGGCACGAGTACTCGTTTATCCTGTCCATGCAGGTCGCGCCGTTTTGGCACAGATTCCCCGGACAATCGTCAATGTTCTCCTCGCACTGGTCGCCGCGGAAGCCTGAAACATTCCGGATCAGAAGATCCTTCATTAGTCGGCCAACTTTTGTTCAACTTTCTTCCGTCGATCTTTAAAGTCGACGCAAGTTCCATCAAATCGTGTTGACTCGAAGATGGCAAGCCATTTTTGCCTTTTGTTGTCGTTCAGGCCATTTGATAAAGGTCGATATTTAGAGTAGCTATCACATCGTGTACCACCGATGGTACACATGGCACGGAACGTGTTAAAAAAGGGAGAAGATTATTCGAAATAGCGAACATTCCATTGAATGTTTGATGTAAAAAAGTTCGTTCACTCGAGGCTTGAAGCTTCTAGCCTTTTAGACTTTTAAAACGCACCATTCGTTTCATTCGCGTAGTAAGTGAAGATAATCTACTTCTCGAAAGTCCTGTACATATATCGAGGAATGTTTCTTTATGAATTTTCAATGGATTTGAAGACTGAAGCCTTCCCTTTACATGAAGAAATGTGTAATGAATTTTTTAAAGTTCGACAAATCGAACTCTTCGAATATATCATACACTCAATTATGAACAAAAAAAAAAAAAATTTCTGCTACATAAATGCATTTCGAGGGCAAGTTTGTTACTTACACGATTTTACAAAATCACAACAAAGTTTCAATACCTAGAGCCCGGACATGAACTGTTGTATCTTCAGTTTTAGCGCGGATTAAGTTATTTTTACGCAACTTGGTACTAGCGAAAATTCGACTCAGCACTTAGATTACACGGGGCAATCTCACGCGAGGAGAAGGGAAGGAACGATCGAGAAGGGTAAACAGAAGATCACGAAGATGTTGGAGGCAAAGCTCGTTGAACCGGTCAGACGGTGACTATTGTGTATCACTAACAGCGATAGTCACGGTCGTAAAGTGAACTCGTTACATTGCCTGGTGCGTTATCTGAAGCCAGAGGACCTGGTTCTCGTCCTCGAGAGAAGGAAAAGGAATTTTTCCATTCGGAGGGTTACGCACCCGTGGGTTTTATTGTTCCACGAATTGACGGTGGCCTGGAAGAACGAGGCGAAGCAGGCGAAGAGAAGGAACAACGCGATCGGCCCCCAACTCGAGATAAAGCGATATAAGGCCGGGATAACCGTGAAATTGATAGTTGGCCGTGTCGATCGATTTTTCTACTATGTTGCAGACAGTTAACAAACAGCCGGCGGCCACAATCACCGCGTCACGATCGGCCTGGAACGAAAACCTAACTGTTTAAACAGGGAAGGGAATATTCAGAGGAGAGAAGTTGCTAGAAGAAGCAACGTCTCTGGCGATACACACGATGTGTTTAATCGCGGCGAAAATCGGCGTGAACCACCGCGAGACGCAAAAAATGGCGTGACTGGAGGGAAGAAACGCGATGGACGATGGATCGGGGAGGATCGATGTAGCGTGACGATCGATTATTTGCGCGGTGTCCCGGCCAAAAGAATCCTTTGTGCGGCTTTTTTCGTCTAGGCGGAGCGGAGATGATGCATATTTATGGCCTGTGCTTGATAGACTCGAGCAGATTTTGCGTTACTGCGCGCGGCCCGTCTGATCGGCGACGAAAAAAGGTAACAGTAACGAGGAAGTTTCGCCGGAGTAATAAAATCGAAGCTGCAAATAACCTTAGTCGAGTACCTAAGAAACTTCTAACGTAAAAAGTGTAAATCAAAATGCAATTAGAAAGTTCTCTTTCCCTTGCACACCAGGTAATTGCGTAACAATTTAATTCGTAGCATTATTAATGTTCGTCATGTAACCTCTCTGTTTAATTAGTGACACAAAAATAGACAAAGTATCTTGTTTATCCTTTCCT